ATAAAAATCCTGAGCAGCCACAACAATGCAAACAGATGGAAGCCAACCAGGAGTTTGTTTTTTAAAAAACTGCTGCTACTAGTGTAGATAATCGAGAGGAAACAGAAGACCCGTCTGAAGCCATTCATCCTTCTGAGGTAGTCACCCCTCCAGCACCACTGGCAACAGGGATGCATCAAATAGCTGCTTATGCAGGTTCCATTGACGCAAGCCCCTCTGCAGTTGAACTTGGCTACTAGACACAGGAATGAGATGCAAGGAGAATGCAGTAGAAGGTTCTACATCAATGCACATTGTACCCCAAAAATCCATGGACAAAAAACCCAAATGCCTCAAACCATCTTTAACTTTATTCCAGAGGTCTGGATAATCATCATCCGCCACCACCGTTAATAGTAGGTGTCCCATAGTCCTATTGAAACAGCTGCTTCACAGAAGCATCTGATAGAGTTGTGTGGCTCAGCTGTTAAGACAAAGGGAACACAAACAATGAGACCCGGGTCATATTCCCAGCTCTGCCCTGCACTTGTTGGGAAAGCTTGGCCTGTCTCTCAGCTTCCCATCTGTAAAATGAAAGTATTTAATTCCATAGTTACGCATGGTATTTTACAGATAATAAAGTACTATTCCCTCTATGAAATCCCTGCAGAATCTCCTATGAAAAGCACTATTCACATTTTGCACTTATATAATAAGTGCACCTGAAAGAACTGAAACCTGTTGTAAGGAGAGGCTTATGGTATTCTAATAATATTTATTAAATTAGCTTCTTAAATGCTGTGGTGTTAAAACCAGTACTGAAAATGTGGCTAAAGATAAGCACCTCATGATTTCATTAAAAGGCAGAGTTTGACAGTAAAGATTAGTAGAAGCAATTGACATGTATGGCAGGGAAAACTGCAAGGAAGGTTGGACCAATAAACAACAGCAAACACTGGGTCTGGTGCCACTTCCCTTTATGGAATCATTGGAGAGATGGAGGCAATCTCTTTAGGTCATCCATAAGGGAGCCCGCTTTGATTTTAAACATTAGAACAGGACCTTCTCTCTTCTAAAGAAAAAAGAAATTGAATGACAAATCTCTGATTAAGTGAAGTCTGCAGTCTTGGAGACCCCAGCACCCCCCCAAAAAAGTCAGTTTATCAAATTATAAATCATCCAACCATTGCACTATTTTGAAGGAGATACTTATGGAGCGTGTGGGGCAAAGTCTGCCTGATTTAATATTTAGTTTGTCATACAAGAATGGAAAATGTGTTCTCTGAAAACTGACTTGATAAAGTTAGATCCGCCACTATTTCTGGAGGTACCTAAACATGCAGTTCTACTCCAAAACGTGCCTAAAGATGTCACTGTGGGGCTCCACGCTTATTGCATCTCTATGATTTCCACATCAAATCTGCTCTATTTAAGAAATAGAAAGGTTTTTCTAAGCAGCACGTTTCTGAAAGTCTAGTTGTATTCTTTTGGGTTACCCATCACAAGTAGAGAGATCAGGCAGACAAAATTCTGCCTTTCGAGCTAGACAAATACTGAAAACAAGTTGTTAATGTTATTTGAAAAATATCACAACACACATTGGCTCAATTAGATGAATAGTATTCAGGCAATTCCAGCCGTCAGTTACGCTAGCGCTAGGAATAACTGGTGGGGTTCAAATGGTACACAAATTGGCCTGGAATTTAGTAAGCAGTTCTGTTAATATCCAGACCAGACCTCCCCACCCACGCTGCTATAGAGCTGGCGGAGAAAGCACTAGTAACTTATATTTGTCACTAAAATAAGCAAATGTGACTGAATACACAGATTGATTGAAGATGACAGTTTTACAAAGTCATTTTTCAGAGAATTGTACTTTCATGAAACCTCCCTGTTTAGCCTTCCATGACAGTGGCAATAGGCTACACAAAAACAACAAGGAGTCCTCGGAAGAAGTGGGTTTTAGCCCACGAAAGCTGATGCCCAAATAAATCTGTTAGTCTTTAAGGTGCCACTGGACTCCTTGTTGTTTTTGTGGATACAGACTAACACGGCTACCCCCTGATAATAGGCTACACAGTTCCTTGTGAAGCTGCAGCGATACTGGCACACAAATTAGGGAAATACATTTCAGCTCCCATACAGAAGAGAGGTCACATATTTGTCAAAACTGATAAAAATATTTAGGCTTTTAAGGTGGATTAAAAACACAAGAAAGATTTTAGGACTACACAAAAGTCTTAACTATCTCCTTTCAA